AATTCTAATTTTTTTGCGCCATTTTTGGATTTTGTCTCAATTACAAATTCAAGAAAAGTCAAAGAAAATTTTTCTGAGTCGATATTTAAGTAGAAAATATTTTTTCTGAGTTGTGAAAAAAATTCTGAGTCGAAAATTCTAATTTATTTGCGCTATTTTTGGATTAAGCCTTTATTAAAAATTCAAGAAAAATCAAAGAAAATTTTTCTGAGTCGAATTTAAGTAGAAAATATTTTTTCTGTCGTGAAAAAAATTTCTGAGTAGAAAATTCGAATTTTTTTGCGTTAATTTTGTCCCAAAAGGTTGTCGGTGTAAACCGAGTCAATTGCATTGTCTTAATACGAAACGCCATCTGTGGCTAATTGAGTCAACTATGCAAATTATATTGAAAAGATTTAGGTGCGTTTACATCGGATTTTTTTTTGAAAATAGGCGATTTTCTTTTTTTTGATTTTTCTCAGAATTTTCCAAATTTTTGGAAGTTTTTTCAAGTACTTCTCAATTTAAAAAATTGTACTTGAAGTTTCAAGTACTTTTTTATTAACATCGCATTTTTTCTTGAAAGAGCGATTTTTTTTTTTGCTAAATTTTTCTCGAAATTTTTCAAGTTTTGAAATTTTTTCAAGTACTTTAAAATTGAACTTGAAGTTTCAAGTACTTGTTTGTTAAAATTGGATTTTTTTAAAATTTTTCTTGAATTTTTATCGAAGTTTTGAAATTTTTTCCAAGTACTTTTCAACACTTTTAAAAGTTGAATTTAAAATTTCAAGTACTTCTTATTTACATCGGATTTTTTGGTAAATTTTTCTCGAAAATTTTCAAGTTTTGAAATTTTTTCAAGTACTCTAAAATTGAACTTGAAGTTTCAAGTACTTGTTTGTTAACATTGGATTTTTTTTTTTTTTTTTCTTGGATTTTTATCCAAGTTTCCTAAGTTTTGAAAATTATTTCAAGTACTTTTCAACACTTTTTAAAGTTGGATTTAAAATTCCAAGTACTTGTTTTTAACAATTTAAAACTGCTTTCAATATTGTTGCAAAATACACTAAAGTAATTTTCAAGTACTTTTTAACACTTTAAAATTAAATTTAAATGTTTCAAGTATTTTTTTTAATAATAAGTTTTAAGTACTTTTAAACATTTGAATAAGTATTTTTTGATACTTTAAAGTTGAATTTCAAGTACTGAAGTTTGGAAAGTTGTTTCAAGTACTTATTTTCGATAGTTCTAATTTAAATTTCAAGTATTCCTAAATATTTAAATGAATACTTTTTAATACTTTGAAATTAATTTCAAGTATTGATGTTTGCAAAGTTGATTCAAGTACCTATATTCTACAGTTTTAATTAAGTTATTTTCAAGTACTTTTAAACATTTTAATGAGTACTTCTTGATACTTTGAAGTTAATTTCAAGTACTGTACTAAAATTTTCTGTACTATACTTTTCAATGCTTTAAAATTTCAAGTATTTGTTTAATTACATCTGATTTTTTTTTGTAAAAGCGATTTTCTTTTTTTGGAAAATTTTTCTTGGATTTTTATCGAATTTTTTAAATTTTGAAATTCTTTTCAAGTACTTTTCAATATTTCAAAATTTCAAGTACTTGTTTATTTTCATCGTTTTTTTTTTTTTTTTTGGTAAATTTGTCTTGGATTTTTATCCAAGTTTTTTTAAAGTACTTAATACCTACTTTAAAATTTCAAGTACCTATTTTTTGGAACAGTTTAAAATTAGTTCAAAATTCGTTTAGAGTACTTTTTACCAACTTTAAAGTTATTTTCAAGTACTTTTCAGTTTGTACTTTAAAATTTGAAAATTCGACCTGATACCTTTCAACATTTAAAAGTTTACAAAAAACCTTATTCAGTTTTCCCTCTAGTTTAAAAATTTCGTTTCAACAAGTTTCAAAAACTTTGGAACGAGGTTTTGTTAATTTTAAACATTTTTGAAACATTTCAAAACTTATTGGAACTTTATAAATCTTTTGGAACTCGTTGGAACAGTCGAAAAAACTCACTACAACGAGTTCTAATGAATTCAAATGGTATTGGAGTAAATTTTTAAATAAATTGAAACGTTATAAATATTTTTGGAACTTATTGGAACAGTCCAAAAAACTCACTCCAACGAGTTTTAATGAGTAATTGTCAAATGACTGTTTCAAAAGATTTATAAGGTTCCAATAAGTTTTAAAACGTTTCAAAAATATTCAAAATTCACAAAAATTTGTTCCAAAGTTGTTAAATAGAAATTTTTTAAATGTTCCAACGAGTTCAAAAAAAAATTTATAAAATTCCAACGAATTCTAAAACTCGTTTCAATGGTGTTTACAAGCATTGGAACTCGTTGGAGTGAGTTTTTAAGACTGTATCAACGGGTTCTAAAAGATTTTTTACGTTCTAACGAGTTTTGAAATTTAAAAATTGTTCCATAGCTGTTGAAACGAAATTTTTGAACTGTTCCAACAAGTACCAAAAAATGTATAAAGTACCAACAAATTAGTTGAAACAGCAAATAATTCTTCTCAACAACTTTTGAACGAATTTTTCTCAATTTAAAATTTATTGTAAATTGTTGGAACAGTCCAGGAAAATCACTCCAACGAGTTCTAATGTTCCAAACACGCATTGGAACGACTTGTCAAATTTGTCGAAACTTTTTGGAACTTGTTCAAACTAAGCAAAAACTCCCTCCAATGAGTTTCAATGACGTATTGGAACAAGTTTTAAATTAATTGAAACGTTATAAATTTTTTGGAACTTGTTGAAATAGTTCAAAAATTTCACTCCAACGAGTTCCAATGTTTCTAATTAGCATTGTGAAATAAGAACTCTCTATTGAATTTTTTGGATTTGTTGGAACTTTCTTGGAACAGTCCAAAAAACACACTCTAACAAGTTCCAAGGTTCCAATGACGTATTGGAACAAGTTTTTAAATTTATTGAAACGGTATAAATTTTTTTGGAACTCGTTGAAACAATTCAAAAAACTTACTCCAATGAGTTCCAATGTTCCTAGACAGCATTGGAATGAGTTTTCGAATTCTTCGGATTTGTTGGGACTTTATAAATTTTTTGAAACTTGTTGGAACAGTTTGAAAATTTTGTTTCAACGAGTTTTAATAACTTTAGAACGAGTTTTTGTTAATTTTGAACATTTTTGAAACGTTTCAAAACTCGTTGGAACTTTATGAATCTTTTAGAACTTCTTTCCTCTTTTTCCTGGAAAATTTTCAAATTTTTCCCTTTGCCAGTTTTCCAGGAAAAAATTAAAATGTAATATGTAGTGTGAATTCTCCTTAATTTTGCTTGAAAAAATCAATTTTCCAGAATTTTTCCTGGAGTGATTTTCCAATGAAAAATTTTGAAATTTTCCTATAATGAGCTCTACACTTTCTTCTTTTTCGTGAAAAATTTTCAAAATTTTCTCTTTGCTAGTTTTCCAGAAAAAAATTAATTTACAAAAGGTTCCATTTAATTCAAAAAAACCTGGAAAAGCCCTGGAAAATCGGAAAATTAAGGGAAAGAAAGTTGGTTGTGGGACTTTTTGGGATCCCCTCTACAAAATGGCTATCTTGAAATTTCGAAATTTTGACTTCGATTTTTGGGCCTATACCTATAACATAGGAGACACTGGAAAATGACAAAAATCTCAACTTCAACCGGCCGTAGCTCCGTAATGGTAAGTCCTAGAGGAAAACCGTCCATGGCTACATGGTAGAGCTCGTCGAGATCTACAAAAAAACCTTAGTGAGTTTTCCCTCTAGGACTCACCATTTCCAAGATATTCCACTTGGAAATTTTAAAATCGATGGGAATAAAGCCTTCCTTTTTTTTTGACCAAAAAATCAAAGTCAAAATTTCCCGGATTTTCTTCGATGACGTCATAGAGGACATCTAAACAAATGTCGGAACCCACTTTTTGCCCCTTAATTTCCAGTTTTTCCAGGATTTTCCGGGCCTTTTCTATACCTCACAAAATGGAAAATCGAAATTTTTCGAATTTTGGAAAAATAAAAATTGCAGTGTATAAAGAAGGTTAAAACAAGCAGAAAAGCTATTTGGCATTTTCCTCTAGGATATTTCCTAAGCCTGGAAAAAAATAAAAAAGGAAATTCATAGGGGGGCTTTTCCAGCCTGGTATGACGTTATTAAATCGGCCATAACTCTGGAACGCCTGGACCGATTTCAATGAATCAAGTTTCATTCGAAAGAGGATTAAATTTGCTACAAAAAGGCCTTATCCAGGATTTCCAGACTTATCCAGTTTCCTAGTTATAGGGCTTCAAAGTTGAAATTTCCCCAAAAATTAACCTTAGCTTTGTTTCAGGTGGTGTTACAACCTTCAGGACAACTCCTAGTGCCCTTTTGTTTATTAATTGTTGTTAATTATTTAAAAAAATAAACAATTTTTTTGAAATTTTTTGTTTTATTTGCTTTATGAGGAAATTTTTTGGCAAAATTTGAAGGGGCGGGGCTTAATTTAGCTCCGCCCCTTTTGTGGGCGGAGCCTGGTTTGATCACTCACTTTGTGGGGCTCTCAAATTTCATTAAATTTTTCCGAAAAATTTTCATTTTGTATCAGGAACACAGGAACTTGAAGAGATGAAATTTTGATGCTTTGTGGGCGGAGCCAAATTAGGCCACGCCCCCTTAAATTTTGCCAAAAATTTTCAGAATTTTTTTTTATTTTGTATTAGGAACACAGGAACGTGAAAAGGTGAAATCCTGATACTTTATGGGCGGAGCCTAATTAGGCCACGCCCCCTCAAATTTTTCTAAAAATTATCGGAAATTTCGTCAAAAAAATCGAAATTTCGTATCGAGGAGAGCAGAAACGCAAGGAGGTATTTTTAGGGCGTGGCCGAATTAAGCCCCGCCCACTCAAAATTTCCAAATTTTTTCCTGAAAATTGAAAAAAAATAAAGAAATAAAACAACTGAAAAATCGATTTAAACTTTTTTTTATTTTTGAATTTTATCGTCCTAAAACCTAAATACGGGAGGGGTAGAGGGGGGGGGGGGTGTTACAGCAAGTTCCTACTTACAAAGACAATAATTAATTAAACATTTAAAATTCTAGTTTTTTGTTTATTTATACATTTTTTTTTTTTCGAAGTCGGCTATATATATATATATATATATATATATATATATATATAAAAAAGGGGCCCTAAAAACAATTGCACTGTTCCAAAAAAAACATAAAAAAAACCCCCACTCCTAGACCTCCGCCCCTGCGCGCGTTTCCGGCTTTAATATATGGCACAATTCAATTGGAAACCAGGGGCGTAGCCCCGAGGAGGGGGGCCGAATTAAAAAATAAATGCAAAAAAAACCTGAGGAAGCCACTGTTTCAAATATAGTAATAGTAGTCATATAGTATAAAAATATCACATTGTTTTTAATAATCAGAAAAAAAAAAAAAATGGCTTCAAAAAAATCAATCAATTGCAATTAGGCACTAGATGACGTCACACAGTGCCCAATTAATTCCCGTACTAAACAATTAAATCCGGCCTTAAATAACAAATAAAATTTTTATATAAAAAAAAAAAAATAATATAAATATTTACAAATATTTACACGCCAAAAAATAATATAGATCCTTGAAATCTGGCACATGTCGGCAACGCCGCCTTTATTTTTTTTACGACAGCGGCGTTGCCAAACCTACAATATAAAAACTAAGAGGTGATTTTGGCAAATGACATTTATGTTACATAGTGGTACGTAAGTAACAAAAAAAAAAAAATACAAGTCCAATAGTATAGGAGATCTGAGTTTTTTTTTGCAAGGTGTTTTTTTTTTTTTTTTTAATTTGGCAACACTGTTCAAAAAAAAGTAATTTAAAAAAAAAAAAACGCACCCAATGCAATTTGCATAGTTAGTTGACTTGGTTGGCCACAAACGGCGTTCCGTAATAATTCAATAGAATTTAAAGGTCGATTTACACGTAGAAAAAAAAAAACTCACCCTGCAAAAACCATCAACTGACGGCGACGACCAAGAAAAAGACCGCGTACGCACGCGTCACTTTTCGGCTCGCAATTCCGAGCCAATTGCACTGACGCTACGTGACGCTGATGATGCTCCGTTCGTCCGACGCGTCAGGATGACGCGTCGCGACGCACTGCCCCGTCAGCTGGTTGACGCTGAGCGGATTGTTGACGTCGTGCGGGTTCGTGCCGACCGGATGCCGGAGCGGCGCCGGCGCCGGCAACTTGACGTCGAACGCGTCCGGTTGCGGCGTGAGCGGACTCTGCAGCATGTACGGACTCGCCGTACTGACCAGCGACGGACTGGCTACGCTCGTCGACGGACTGGGCAGGATGACGCCTGGAGACGTCAGGCTGCTCAGCGGGCTCGACATTGATTGGTTGAGGCTTTCGACGTCGTCGTCGTCGTCGTCGACGTCGTCCGGCGGCGTGTTGGCGTCGCCCATGCTGCCGCAGCTGCCTAGATTGTCGTCGGACTGGTTGCCGTCGCCCGACTCCATGTACCGTATGCATTTCTTCTTGCGTCTGGAAAATTTTCGAAATTTTTTAGAAATTCGGACGTTTATAGACGTCGTTCGGAAAAATTTGGACGTTTATTGGCGTCACTTGACAAAATCGGAAATTTTAAAAATTTGGACGTTCATAGGCGTCACTCGGAATTTTAGAAATTTTAAAAATTTGGACGTTTATAAGCGTCGCTCGAAAAGATAATTGTTTCAAAAAATTCTAACGTGCTAGAATGTTCCAAAAAAAAATGTTCCAAAACATTCTCGAACGTTTTCAGAACTCATTGAAACAAATTGAAAACTGATTGAACCAAATTTAAATTATTTCAAAAAATTCTAGGATGTTCCCAAAAAATTTTTTTGAATGTTCCAAAATACTCTAAAATATTCCTAAAAACTTTTGAAATTCGTTGGAACAAATTAGAAAAAATTTAAATTGTTTAAAAAAATTTTGAAACGCTCTAAAATGTTCCAGAATATTTCTAAAAACTCACAATTTTTAAATCTCTAAGTACTCACTTATTTTTAAAATGTTTCAAAATATTCCAAAATGTTTTGAAACATTCTAAAATATTCCTGAAATTTCTAAAATGTTCCACAATAATTTTAAAAACTCACAATTTTCAAATCTCTGAGTACTCAGTTACTTCTAGAGTGTTTGAAAAAATGTTCTGAAACGTTCTAAAAATGTTCCAAAAAATGTTTCAACACGAAATTAAGCCATTTGTAATGTTACAAAAAATTGAAAAATCTTTTGGAATGTTTCAAAAAATTTTGAAATGTTCCTAAAAACTCTTGAATAATTCGTTGGAACAGATTGTAAACTCATTGGAAAAAATTTAGATTTTTTCAAAAAAACTCTGGAACATTTTAAAATGTTTTTAAAAATCCTTAAAACTCGTTGGAACACTTTAAAAACTCGTTGGAAAAAATTTAGATTGTTTCAAAAAACTTCTGGAACATTTTAAAATGTTTTTATAAATTCTAAAAAGTTTTTAAAAATCCTCAAAACTCGTTAAAACACTTTAAAAACTCGTTGGAAAAAATTTAGATTATTTCAAAAAAATTCTGGAACATTTTAAAATGTTTTAAAAATCCTCAAAACTCGTTAAAACACTTTAAAAACTCGTTGGAAAAAATTTAGATTGTTTCAAAAAACTTCTGGAACATTTTAAAATGTTTTTATAAATTCTAAAAAGTTTTTAAAAATCCTCAAAACTCGTTAAAACACTTTAAAAACTCGTTGGAAAAAATTTAGATTGTTTCAAAAAAATTTTGGAACATTTTAAAATGTTTTCATAAATTCTAAAATGTTTTTAAAAATCCTCAAAACTCATTGGAACACTCTAAAAACTCGTTGGAAAAAATTTAGATTGTTTCAAAAAAATTTTGGAACATTTTAAAATGTTTTCATAAATTCTAAAATGTTTTTAAAAATCCTCAAAACTCATTGCAACACTCTAAAAACTCGTTGGAAAAAATTTAGATTGTTTCAAAAAACTTCTGGAACATTTTAAAATGTTTTTATAAATTCTAAAAAGTTTTTAAAAATCCTCAAAACTCGTTAAAACACTTTAAAAACTCGTTGGAAAAAATTTAGATTGTTTCAAAAAAATTTTGGAACATTTTAAAATGTTTTCATAAATTCTAAAATGTTTTTAAAAATCCTCAAAACTCATTGGAACACTCTAAAAACTCGTTGGAAAAAATTTAGATTGTTTCAAAAAAATTTTGGAACATTTTAAAATGTTTTCATAAATTCTAAAATGTTTTTAAAAATCCTCAAAACCCATTGGAACACTCTAAAAAACTCGTTGGAAAAAATTTAGATTGTTTCAAAAAAACTCTGGAACATTTTAAAATGTTTTTAAAAATCCTTAAAACTCGTTGGAACACTTTAAAAACTCGTTGGAAAAAATTTAGATTGTTTCAAAAAACTTCTGGAACATTTTAAAATGTTTTTATAAATTCTAAAAAGTTTTTAAAAATCCTCAAAACTCGTTAAAACACTTTAAAAACTCGTTGGAAAAAATTTAGATTGTTTCAAAAAAATTTTGGAACATTTTAAAATGTTTTCATAAATTCTAAAATGTTTTTAAAAATCCTCAAAACTCATTGGAACACTCTAAAAACTCGTTGGAAAAAATTTAGATTGTTTCAAAAAAATTTTGGAACATTTTAAAATGTTTTCATAAATTCTAAAATGTTTTTAAAAATCCTCAAAACTCATTGGAACACTCTAAAAACTCGTTGGAAAAAATTTAGATTGTTTCAAAAAACTTCTGGAACATTTTAAAATGTTTTTATAAATTCTAAAAAGTTTTTAAAAATCCTCAAAACTCGTTAAAACACTTTAAAAACTCGTTGGAAAAAATTTAGATTGTTTCAAAAAAATTTTGGAACATTTTAAAATGTTTTCATAAATTCTAAAATGTTTTTAAAAATCCTCAAAACTCATTGGAACACTCTAAAAACTCGGAAAAAATTTAGATTGTTTCAAAAAAATTTTGAAACATTTTAAAATGTTTTCATAAATTCTAAAATGTTTTTAAAAATCCTCAAAACTCATTGGAACACTCTAAAAACTCGTTGGAAAAAATTTAGATTGTTTCAAAAAACTTCTGGAACATTTTAAAATATTTTTATAAATTCTAAAAAGTTTTTAAAAATCCTCAAAACTCGTTAAAACACTTTAAAAACTCGTTGGAAAAAATTTAGATTGTTTCAAAAAAATTTTGGAACATTTTAAAATGTTTTCATAAATTCTAAAATGTTTTTAAAAATCCTCAAAACTCATTGGAACACTCTAAAAACTCGTTGGAAAAAATTTAGATTGTTTCAAAAAACTTCTGGAACATTTTAAAATGTTTTTATAAATTCTAAAAAGTTTTTAAAAATCCTCAAAACTCGTTAAAACACTTTAAAAACTCGTTGGAAAAAATTTAGATTGTTTCAAAAAAATTTTGGAACATTTTAAAATGTTTTCATAAATTCTAAAATGTTTTTAAAAATCCTCAAAACTCATTGGAACACTCTAAAAACTCGGAAAAAATTTAGATTGTTTCAAAAAAATTTTGAAACATTTTAAAATGTTTTCATAAATTCTAAAATGTTTTTAAAAATCCTCAAAACTCATTGGAACACTCTAAAAACTCGTTGGAAAAAATTTAGATTGTTTCAAAAAACTTCTGGAACATTTTAAAATGTTTTTATAAATTCTAAAAAGTTTTTAAAAATCCTCAAAACTCGTTAAAACACTTTAAAAACTCGTTAGAAAAAATTTAGATTGTTTCAAAAAAATTCTGGAACATTTTAAAATGTTTTAAAAATCCTCAAAACTCGTTGGAAGACTTTAAAAACTCGTTGGAAAAAATTTAGATTGTTTCAAAAAACTTCTGGAACATTTTAAAATGTTTTTATAAATTCTAAAAAGTTTTTAAAAATCCTCAAAACTCGTTAAAACACTTTAAAAACTCGTTGGAAAAAATTTAGATTGTTTCAAAAAAATTTTGGAACATTTTAAAATGTTTTCATAAATTCTAAAATGTTTTTAAAAATCCTCAAAACTCATTGGAACACTCTAAAAACTCGTTGGAAAAAATTTAGATTGTTTCAAAAAACTTCTGGAACATTTTAAAATGTTTTTATAAATTCTAAAAAGTTTTTAAAAATCCTCAAAACTCGTTAAAAAACTTTAAAAACTCGTTGGAAAAAATTTAGATTGTTTCAAAAAACTTCTGGAACATTTTAAAATGTTTTTATAAATTCTAAAAAGTTTTTAAAAATCCTCAAAACTCGTTAAAACACTTTAAAAACTCGTTGGAAAAAATTTAGATTGTTTCAAAAAAATTTTGGAACATTTTAAAATGTTTTCATAAATTCTAAAATGTTTTTAAAAATCCTCAAAACTCATTGGAACACTCTAAAAACTCGTTGGAAAAAATTTAGATTGTTTCAAAAAACTTCTGGAACATTTTAAAATGTTTTTATAAATTCTAAAAAGTTTTTAAAAATCCTCAAAACTCGTTAAAACACTTTAAAAACTCGTTGGAAAAAATTTAGATTGTTTCAAAAAAATTTTGGAACATTTTAAAATGTTTTCATAAATTCTAAAATGTTTTTAAAAATCCTCAAAACTCATTGGAACACTCTAAAAACTCGTTGGAAAAAATTTAGATTGTTTCAAAAAAATTTTGGAACATTTTAAAATGTTTTCATAAATTCTAAAATGTTTTTAAAAATCCTCAAAACTCATTGGAACACTCTAAAAACTCGTTGGAAAAAATTTAGATTGTTTCAAAAAACTTCTGGAACATTTTAAAATGTTTTTATAAATTCTAAAAAGTTTTTAAAAATCCTCAAAACTCGTTAAAACACTTTAAAAACTCGTTGGAAAAAATTTAGATTGTTTCAAAAAAATTTTGGAACATTTTAAAATGTTTTCATAAATTCTAAAATGTTTTTAAAAATCCTCAAAACTCATTGGAACACTCTAAAAACTCGGAAAAAATTTAGATTGTTTCAAAAAAATTTTGAAACATTTTAAAATGTTTTCATAAATTCTAAAATGTTTTTAAAAATCCTCAAAACTCATTGGAACTTGGAACACTCTAAAAACTCGTTGGAAAAAATTTAGATTGTTTCAAAAAACTTCTGGAACATTTTAAAATGTTTTTATAAATTCTAAAAAGTTTTTAAAAATCCTCAAAACTCGTTAAAACACTTTAAAAACTCGTTAGAAAAAATTTAGATTGTTTCAAAAAAATTCTGGAACATTTTAAAATGTTTTAAAAATCCTCAAAACTCGTTGGAAGACTTTAAAAACTCGTTGGAAAAAATTTAGATTGTTTCAAAAAAACTTCTGGAACATTTTAAAATGTTTTTATAAATTCTAAAAAGTTTTTAAAAATCCTCAAAACTCGTTAAAACACTTTAAAAACTCGTTGGAAAAAATTTAGATTGTTTCAAAAAAATTTTGGAACATTTTAAAATGTTTTCATAAATTCTAAAATGTTTTTAAAAATCCTCAAAACTCATTGGAACACTCTAAAAACTCGGAAAAAATTTAGATTGTTTCAAAAAAATTTTGAAACATTTTAAAATGTTTTCATAAATTCTAAAATGTTTTTAAAAATCCTCAAAACTCATTGGAACTTGGAACACTCTAAAAACTCGTTGGAAAAAATTTAGATTGTTTCAAAAAACTTCTGGAACATTTTAAAATGTTTTTATAAATTCTAAAAAGTTTTTAAAAATCCTCAAAACTCGTTAAAACACTTTAAAAACTCGTTAGAAAAAATTTAGATTGTTTCAAAAAAATTCTGGAACATTTTAAAATGTTTTAAAAATCCTCAAAACTCGTTGGAAGACTTTAAAAACTCGTTGGAAAAAATTTAGATTGTTTCAAAAAAACTTCTGGAACATTTTAAAATGTTTTTATAAATTCTAAAAAGTTTTTAAAAATCCTCAAAACTCGTTAAAACACTTTAAAAACTCGTTGGAAAAAATTTAGATTGTTTCAAAAAAATTTTGGAACATTTTAAAATGTTTTCATAAATTCTAAAATGTTTTTAAAAATCCTCAAAACTCATTGGAACACTCTAAAAACTCGTTGGAAAAAATTTAGATTGTTTCAAAAAACTTCTGGAACATTTTAAAATGTTTTTATAAATTCTAAAAAGTTTTTAAAAATCCTCAAAACTCGTTAAAAAACTTTAAAAACTCGTTGGAAACAATTTAGATTGTTTCAAAAAACTTCTGGAACATTTTAAAATGTTTTTATAAATTCTAAAAAGTTTTTAAAAATCCTCAAAACTCGTTAAAACACTTTAAAAACTCGTTGGAAAAAATTTAGATTGTTTCAAAAAAATTTTGGAACATTTTAAAATGTTTTCATAAATTCTAAAATGTTTTTAAAAATCCTCAAAACTCATTGGAACACTCTAAAAACTCGTTGGAAAAAATTTAGATTGTTTCAAAAAAATTTTGGAACATTTTAAAATGTTTTCATAAATTCTAAAATGTTTTTAAAAATCCTCAAAACTCATTGGAACACTCTAAAAACTCGTTGGAAAAAATTTAGATTGTTTCAAAAAAATTTTGGAACATTTTAAAATGTTTTCATAAATTCTAAAATGTTTTTAAAAATCCTCAAAACTCATTGGAACACTCTAAAAACTCGTTGGAAAAAATTTAGATTGTTTCAAAAAACTTCTGGAACATTTTAAAATGTTTTTATAAATTCTAAAAAGTTTTTAAAAATCCTCAAAACTCGTTAAAACACTTTAAAAACTCGTTGGAAAAAATTTAGATTGTTTCAAAAAAATTCTGACACATTTTAAAATGTTTTTAAAAATCCTTAAAACTCGTTGGAACACTTTAAAAACTCGTTGGAAAAAATTTAGATTGTTTCAAAAAAACTCTGGAACATTTTAAAATGTTTTTAAAAATCCTTAAAACTCGTTGGAACACTTTAAAAACTCGTTGGAAAAAATTTAGATTGTTTCAAAAAAACTCTGGAACATTTTAAAATGTTTTCATAATTTCTAAAATGTTTTTAAAAATCCTCAAAACTCATTGGAACATTCTAAAAACTCGTTGGAAAAAATTTAAATTGTTTTAAAAAAATTCATTTTTTTAAAAATCCTTAAAACTCGTTGGAACACTCTAAAAACTCGTTGGAAAAAATTTAGATTGTTTCAAAAAAACTCTGGAACATTTTAAAATGTTTTTAAAAATCCTTAAAACTTGTTGGAACACTTTAAAAACTCGTTGGAAAAAATTTAGATTGTTTCAAAAAAACTCTGGAACATTTTAAAATGTTTTCATAATTTCTAAAATGTTTTTAAAAATCCTCAAAACTCATTGGAACATTCTAAAAACTCGTTGGAAAAAATTTAAATTGTTTCAAAACAATTCATTTTTTTAAAAATCCTTAAAACTCGTTGGAACACTCTAAAAACTCGTTGGAAAAAATTTAGATTGTTTCAAAAAAACTCTGGAACATTTTAAAATGTTTTTAAAAATCCTTAAAACTCGTTGGAACACTTTAAAAACTCGTTGGAAAAAATTTAGATTGTTTCAAAAAAATTCTGGAACATTTTAAAATGTTTTCATAATTTCTAAAATGTTTTTAAAAATACTCAAAACCCATTGGAACACTCTAAAAACTCGTTGGAAAAAATTTAGATTGTTTCAAAAAAATTCTGGAACATTTTAAAATGTTTTCATAAATTCTAAAATGTTTTTAAAAATCCTCAAAACTCATTGGAACACTCTAAAAACTCGTTGGAAAAAATTTAAATTGTTTCAAAAAAATTCTGGAACATTTTAAAATGTTTTTAAAAATCCTTAAAACTCGTTGGAACACTTTAAAAACTCGTTGAAAAAAATTTAGATTGATTCAAAAAAATTCTGGAACGTTTTAGAATGTTCCAAAAAATTCTGAAATGTTGTAACTCGTTTGAACAAATTGAAAACTTGTCAAAAAAAAAAAAGATTGTTTCAAAAAAAATTTGGAACATTCTAAAATGTTTCAAAAAATTCTAGAATATATCCAAAAAATCTTACAAGTAGTTGGAACAAATTAAAAACTCGTTGAAAAAAATTTAGAATGTTTAAAAAAAATTTTGGAACGTTCTAAAATGTTTCTAAAAATTTTGAAATCTTCTAAAATGTTCTAAAAAATTCTCAAAACTCGTTGCAAGAAATTGAAAACTCATTGGAAAAAAATTAGATTGTTTCAAAAAAATTATGGAACATTCTAAAATGTTTCAAAAAATTCTAGAATGTCTAAAAAATCTTACAAGTGATTGGAACAAATTAAAAACTTGTTGAAAAAAATTTAGAATGTTTCGAAAAAATTTTGAAATGTGACCAAAATTTCTGAAATGTTCTAAAATTTTCCTAAAAATTCTCAAAACTCGTTGGAACAGATTAAAAATTAGTTGGAACAAATTTAGATTAATTCAAAAAAAAATTGGTATTGTCTAGAATGTTCCAAAAATTCAAAAAATTCAAAAAATTCGGTCTAAAACGTTTTAAAATTTTCAAAATTCGTTGGAACAAATTTAGATTGTTTCAAAAAAAAAAAAAAAAATTGTGCAACGATGTTTCAGAAAATTTTAAAATGTTCCAAAACTCGTTGAAACAGATTTTGTTGAAATTTTAAAAACTTGAACGTATATAGGTGTCATTTGAAAAGATCAAAATTTTAAAAAATTTGGACGTCTATTATAGACGTTGCTTAAAACTTTAAACATTTATAAGTGTTTTTCCGAAAAACGACGTTTATACACGTCGCTCGGAAAAATCGATTTTTACGAGCGACGTCTATAAACGTTCAAATAAAAAAAACACTAAAAATCATGCTGAAAAAAAATAAATAAATAAATAAATAAAAAATCCATGCTTTTTTTTTTAAAAAAAAAAACAGGTGTCGCTGTTTTCTTTGGATCGAAAATAAAATGTCAAAATGTCCATTTTCCATGCTGTCAAAAAAAAAAAAAAAACAGTGGCACAAAATGTTAGAAAAAGAAAAAAAATCATTAAAACAACACGCATACAAAATTCTTAGAAAAAAACACTGCTGTACGGAGGGGGGCAAACAGACAAAAAAAAAAAAAAAAAATTACAACAACAACCACCACTAACCGCCGACGACGTTGTGCTATAGATTGACGTAAGTCGGTTCCTGGGACGACTGGGCGGCGGCCGCCCCGCCGCCCCCCAACTGCATCAGGCCCTGGACCGTCGCCGTGTTGCCGCCTCCAGCGCCGCCTTCCGGACTAAACAATTGATTTGATTGATACAAGGGGGCATAAAAACAATTGAAAGATGCAAACAACAACAATAATTAATAATTAATAGAAAAGCGACACTAAAATACAAAAAAAATAATAATTATATATTTTACGTTAGATAAAGTGCAAATTATTTATTTATTTATTTAGAAAATGTGTCTTTTTTTTTTTAGGCCCCCCTGTATATATGTGTTTTTTTTTTTCTTTTTTCCTCCCCCTATATAACAACAGCAGTGATTTTTTTTTTTTATGTGCACATTATCTAAATTTTCTGTGAAAAGACACATTTTCCGTCTGAAAAAAAAAAAAAAAAAAAAATACAAAAAACGAGAAAAAAAGTCTTTTCACATGAGATGAAAAAAGAAAGAAACAGAAAAAAAAAAAAAAAACGACATGGCGCCCAACGTGGGGCACACATTGAATGAACATGCATTAATTAGCAAAAATTAATTAAAATTATTACTGACCTGCAAGGTTTGCACCACTGGCTCTGCTGGTCGAGGCCGTAACGGGCCCGGCACTTTTTCATACTGTTGCCTAATTATTAAAAAAAAAAATTAAATTAAATTTAAATTAATTTTTATCATGCAAATTTTACCTACGCCCATGCTTTATATGTCAATTTTGTATTGATTTTTGCACCCAAATTAGGGGTGCGTTCGATAAATGTGTGTTTTAAATGCTCTAGAGTAGTTTTTTTTTGTGCTCCAAAATGTCAATTTTATAAAATTTCACAAATTCGGACGTTTATAGGCGTCACTCAAACATTTTTTTTTTTTTTTGGAAAATTTAGACGTTCATAGGCGTCGTTTGGAAAAATCCATTTTTTCGAAATTTTAAAAATTAAACTTTGGACGTTTATAGACGTCGCTCAAAAAAAATGTAGTGTAAAAATAAATAAGTTTAAAAGTATTTTGAATTTTGCACTTTTTGCTCTAGAGTAGATTTACAAGTTTTTTTGCGCTCCAAAATCCAAAAATGGCGCAAAAAAATTAAAATTTTCGACTCAGAATTTTTTTTCACGACTCAGAAAAAATATTTTCTACTTAAATATCGACTCAGAAAAATTTTCTTTGATTTTTCTTGAATTTGTACTTGAGGCAAAATCCAAAAATGGCGCAAAAAAAATTAGAATTTTCGACTCAGAATTTTTTGCACGACTCAGAAAAAAAAATTTTTTACTTAAATATTGACTCAGAAAAATTTTCTTTGACTTTTCATGAATTTGTAATTGAGGCAAAATCCAAAAATGACGCAAAAAAATTAGAACTATCGACTCAGAATTTGTTTTCACGACTCAGAAAAAATATTTTTTACCTCAATATCGACTCAGAAAAATTTTCTTTGATTTTTCTTGAATTTGTTATTGAGGCAAAATCCAAAAATGACGCAAAAAAATTAGAATTATCGACTCAGAATTTTTTTTCACGACTCAGAAAAAATATTTTCTACTTAAATATCGACTCAGAATTTTTTTTTTTTACTTTTCATGAATTTTTAATTAAGGCCTAATCCAAAAATAACGCAAATAAACTAGAATTTTCGACTCAGAATTTTTTTTCACGATTCAGAAAAAAAAATTCTACTTAAATATCGACTCAGAAAAATTTTCTTTGACTTTTCCTAAATTTGTAATTGAGGCAAAATCCAAAAATGGCGCAAAAAGATTTAAATTTTCAACTCAGAATTTTTTTTCACGACTCAGAAAAAATATTTTCTACTTAAATATCGACTCAGAAAAATTTTCTTTGACTTTTCATGAATTTGTTATTGAGGCAAAATCCAAAAATGGCGCAAAAAAATTTAAATTTTCGACTCAGAATTTTTTTTCACGACTCAGAAAAAATATTTTCTACTTAAATATCGATTCAGAAAAATTTTCTTTTTTTTTCTTGAATTTGTAATTGGGGCAAAATCCAAAAATGACGCAAAAAAATTAGAATTATCGACTCAGAATTTTTTTTCACGACTCAGAAAAAATATTTTTTACTTAAATATCGACTCAGAAAAATTTTCTTTGATTTTTCTTGAATTTGTTATTGAGGCAAAATCCAAAAATGGCGCAAAAAAATTAGAATTATCGATTCGAAATTTTTTTTCACGACTCAGAAAAAAAATTTCTACTTAAAATCGACTCAGAAAAATTTTCTTTGATTTTTCCTAAATTTGTAATTGAGGCAAAATCCAAAAATGGCGCAAAAAAATTTGAATTTTCGACTCAGAATTTTTTTTCACGACTCAGAAAAAATATTTTCTACTTAAATATCGACTCAGAAAAATTTTCTTTGACTTTTCCTAAATTTGTAATTGAGGCAAAATCCAAAAATGGCGCAAAAAAATTTGAATTTTCAACTCTGAATTTTTTTTCACGACTCAAAAAAAATATTTTCTACTTAAATATCGACTCAGAAAAATTTTCTTTGATTTTTCTTGAATTTGTTATTGAGGCAAAATCCAAAAATGGCGCAAAAAAATTAGAATTATCGAATCAGAATTTTTTTTCACGACTCAGAAAAAAAATTTCTACTTAAAATCGACTCAGAAAAATTTTCTTTGATTTTTCCTAAATTTGTAATTGAGGCAAAATCCAAAAATGGCGCAAAAAAATTTGAATTTTCAACTCAGAATTTTTTTTTACGACTCAGAAAAAATACTTTCTACTTAAATATCGACTCAGAAAAATTTTCTTTGACTTTTCCTAAATTTGTAATTGAGGCAAAATCCAAAAATGGCGCAAAAAAATTAGAACTATCGACTCAGAATTTGTTTTCACGACTCAGAAAAAATATTTTTTACCTCAATATCGACTCAGAAAAATTTTCTTTGATTTTTCTTGAATTTGTTATTGAGGCAAAATCCAAAAATGACGCAAAAAAATTAGAATTATCGACTCAGAATTTTTTTTCACGACTCAGAAAAAATATTTTCTACTTAAATATCGACTCAGAATTTTTTTTTTACTTTTCATGAATTTTTAATTAAGGCCTAATCCAAAAATAACGCAAATAAACTAGAATTTTCGACTCAGAATTTTTTTTCACGACTCAGAAAAAAAAATTCTACTTAAATATCGACTCAGAAAAATTTTCTTTGACTTTTCCTAAATTTGTAATTGAGGCAAAATCCAAAAATGGCGCAAAAAGATTTAAATTTTCAACTCAGAATTTTTTTTCACGACTCAGAAAAAATATTTTCTACTTAAATATCGACTCAGAAAAATTTTCTTTGACTTTTCATGAATTTGTTATTGAGGCAAAATCCAAAAATGGCGCAAAAAAATTTAAATTTTCAACTCAGAATTTTTTTTCACGACTCAGAAAAAATATTTTCTACTTAAATATCGACTCAGAAAAATTTTCTTTGATTTTTCTTGAATTTGTTATTGAGGCAAAATCCAAAAATGACGCAAAAAAATTAGAATTATCGACTCAGAATTTTTTTTCACGACTCAGAAAAAATATTTTTTACTTAAATATTGACTCAGAAAAATTTTCTTTGACTTTTCATGAATTTGTTATTGAGGCAAAATCCAAAAATGACGCAAAAAAATTAGAATTATCGACTCAGAATTTTTTTTCACGACTCAGAAAAAAAATTTCTACTTAAAATCGACTCAGAAAAATTTTCTTTGACTTTTCCTAAATTTGTAATTGAGGCAAAATCAAAAATGGCGCAAAAAAATTAGAATTATCGATTCGAAATTTTTTTTCACGACTCAGAAAAAATATTTTTTACTTAAATATCGACTCAGAAAAATTTTCTTCGACTTTTCATGAATTTGTTATTGAGGCAAAATCCAAAAATGACGCAAAAAAATTAGAACTATCGACTCAGAATTTTTTTTCCCGACTCAGAAAAAATATTTTCCACTTAAATATCGACTCAGAAAAATTTTCTTTGATTTTTCTTGAATTTGTTATTGAGGCAAAATCCAAAAATGGCGCAAAAAAAATTAGAATTATCGAATCGGAATTTTTTTTCACGACTCAGAAAAAAAATTTCTACTTAAATATCGACTCAGAAAATTTTTTTTTGACTTTTCATAAATTTGTTATTGAGGCAAAATCCAAAAATGGCGCAAAAAAATTAGAATTATCGACTCAGAATTTTTTTTCACGACTCAGAAAAAATATTTTCTACTTAAATATCGACTCAGAAAAATTTTCTTTGACTTTTCTTGAATTTGTTATTGAGGCAAAATCCAAAAATGGCGCAAAAAAATTAGAATTATCGACTCAGAATTTTTTTTCACGACTCAGAAAAAAAATTTCTACTTAAAATCGACTCAGAAAAATTTTCTTTGATTTTTCCTAAATTTGTAATTGAGGCAAAATCCAAAAATGGCGCAAAAAAATTTGAATTTTCAACTCAGAATTTTTTTTCACGACTCAGAAAAAATATTTTCTACTTAAATATGACTCAGAAATTTTTCCAAAAATGGCGCAAAAAAATTAGAATTATCGACTCAGAATTTTTTTTCACGACTCAGAAAAAATATTTTAGAAAATCAATAAAATTGACAATTATTGACAGCGTAAACCCAGTCACCAAAAAAAAAAACACTAAACTAACACTTTTTTGACGGTTGACATTTAAAATGTCAACTGTCAAAAAAAATACATGCTCTATCAATACTAAAACGACAGAGCCTATTCAGCTGAAAAAAAAAAAACAAAAAAAAAAAGACAGGACATGCACAAGTACCGCCGAGACATAAACGTGCATACGACGGAGTCCATTTTGAAAAAAAAAAAAAAAAAAATTTAGTGCGCAGCCGCAGCAGCAGAATAGGTACTGTTGAGTGTGGGCCCGGCCGAAAAAAAAAAAAAACATGCAAGAAAAAAAAAATGGCGGCAAACGACAAGTAAACACACACACACTTGACAGTTGACAGTGCGCGTTTAGTTATCGGGGGCGCTGCTAAAAAATACCTCCGTCTTGAGGATCTTGCTTACGCTTCCTCTTCTTGCCGCGGGTGGCGTTGGCGCGCGACGACCAATCAGGATAAAGCTGCATGTGCAGCTGACGTTCGCGCCGCGCCAGCTCATAGTACTTGGCCTGTTCTTCGCGGCCGAGCGCGTGCCACTTTAAAACAAAATAAATAAATAAAAAAAAAAAATTTAAAAAAAAAATATTTTTTTTTTTTTTTTTTTGCGCGGTTGGGAACAATGGGTGGCACCAAGAAGCCGCAAGCGCAAGACGATCTTTTTTTTTTTTTTTTTCGGCGCAGGCGCACTTAACCCTATTCTTCTGCCCCATTTTTTTTTTTTGCCGTATGCACGTTGTTTCCGGGTCGGTAAATAATTAGCCGCAGTAGCTCCATCTGTGTGCGCATTATTAGAAATTAGTTTTTTTTTTTTTTTGATTAGTAAAACGCACACGCAAATACACACACACACACACACACACATCAGGCATAATGGATTAGAAACGGAAAAAAAAAATTTTGACAGCCGCGCTCTCTTACGTCAATAGATGGCGCCACCGGGAAAATTATGAAACTAAACAAAATGGGGGTGCGTTCGATAACTCAAACATAGATGGCGCCACCTAGAAACCGCGCATGTCGTATCTCACCGAAAGAGGGCGCGCATAGCAAAAAAAAAAAAAAAAAAAAAACTCTACCTCCCGACTCTATCGGTGCCCTCTCTTTCTTTCGCTTCTTCTTCTTGGTGCCGTAACCGTAATTGTCCCTAGCGCTCCAACCGGGGTAGAGCTGCATGTGCAATTGACGTTCGAGCCGCGCCTTCTCGTAATACTTGGCCTGCTCCTCGCGACTCAGCGAGTGCCACTTTATAAGTTTAAATACGAAGACTAAAGCCTCGTTTACATTGAAATTTTATAAGGAAAAAATTCTTACCCGTCGGCCGAGGATTTGGTTGATGGCGGCGCTTTCTTTGAGCGTGCACTCGGCCACCACTTTGGCGCGCATCTCTTTCATGTACAACATGAAAGCGTTCAGCGGCTTTTTGATGTGCGGCTTCTTTTTCTCGTTGTCCTGGTTGTTTTTCGCGTCGGCGCTGTTCTTGTGATGGTCCTGCGACCTGCAACCAAACGGTGAATAATGGCAAATGCCTATTTGTTGCGGTGAATGTTAACAAAAATGTCAAAAATGTCATTGGTCTGTCATTAATGTCAACAAAAAAAAAATAACGGTTTTATGAGAGGAATGTGCGCTGAATGTTGTTTCGACACCCGTGTCACAATTCACGTTGCTACAAAAAAAAAAATGAACTCGAAATTTGTGTAGCAACACGAATTTTTTTCCTATATGCGGCATTTGAATTAGCAACAATATGTAGCAACAAATTCAATGTTGTTACGCACAAAAAAAAAATTGTAGCAACACGAATTTAAATTTTTAGGAGTTTGTAGCAACAAAATTTCGTGTTGCTACAGATAAAAAACCCCGAAATCGCCCATAGTTGGGTATTGCTACAAAAAAATCCGTGTTGCTATAGGCCAAAAAGTTCGAAATCATTCGAATTTGGGTGTTGCTACACAGACCAAACCTCCTAAAATCGAGTATTACTACAAAAAAATTAGTGTTGCTACAACCTGAAAATCTCATTTACATCAAAATCTACAAGTTAAACTGTCAAATTTGGACATTGCTACAAAAATTTCGTGTTGCTTCAAATCAAAAACCCCGAAATACCCTATATTCGAGTGTTGCTACAAAAAATTCCGTGTTGCTACAGGTCAAAAAGTTCGAAATTGCTCGAATTTGGATGTTGCTACAGATCAAAACCTCCAAAATCAGATGTTGCTACAGAAATAATAGTGTTGCTACAAACTAAAAATCTCATTAACGTCAAAATCTAGGAATTAAACTGTCAAATTTGGAAGTTGCTACAAAAAAATTCCGTGTTGCTACAGGCTAAAAAGTTCAAAATCGCTCGAATTTGGATGTTGCTACAGACCAAACCTCCTAAAATTGGGTATTGCTATAAAAATATTCATGTTGCTACAACATGAGAATCTTATTTGCATCGAAATCTAGGAATTAAATTGTCAAATTTGGATGTTGCTACAAAATTTTCATGTTGCTACAAATTAAAAACCCCGAAACAACCTATATTTGAGTGTTGCTACAAAAAATTCCGTCTTCCTACAGGCCAAAAAAATCAAAATCGCCCGAATTAGGGTGTTGCTACAGACCAAAACCCCCCAAAATCAGGTGTTGCTACAGAAATTATCGTGTTACTACAACCTGAAAATCTCAATTACATCAAAATATGAGAATTGATTTGTCAAATTCGGATGTTGCTACAAAAATTTCATGTTGCTACAAATCAAAAACCCGAAAATAGCCTAGTTTGGGTGTTGCTACAAAAAATTTCTTTTTGCAACAACCTAGAAATGTCAAGATCAAAATATACTAGTTCTGCTGTCAAATTCAGGTGTTGCTACAAGAAAATTCGTGTTGCTATAACTTCGAAATGTCACCTTAATCAAAATATAGTGATTCTGCTGTCAAATTCAAAAGTTGCTACAGAAAAAATAGATAATTTCCCGTTGCTACAGACCAAAAACTCCTAAATCACCCAAATTTGGGTGTTGCTTCAATCGAAAATAGTGTTGCTAGAATCAAAAAAGTGTTGCTACAAACCACAAATGCAGAAATCGTCCAAATTCAGATTTAGTTATAAAATCGTGTTGCTACAAGTGAAAATAGTGTTGCTATAATCGGAACAGAGGGTGTTGCTACAGACCAAAAAATCCACAAATCGTCCAAATTCGAGTGTTGCTGTGAAAAATTCCGTATTATTGTATTTGAAAAAAATTGTTGCTACATACCAAAAACCTTTAAATTGCCCAAATTTGGGTGAAGCTACAAAAAAAATCGTTGAAATTAACTTTTAGGAATCATTGATAGCGACAAAGTGTGTTGCTACACGTGAATTTTCCGAATTATTAGGTCGAAATCGAGTGTTGCTACAAGAAATTATGTTGCTACAATTTTAAAATCTTGCCTACATGTTGTTAAATAATAATAACCAGATTTTTCTAGCGAATTTGAGTGTTGCTACAACCTCCAAATTTCGAATTCGAGAGCCGCTAATAATAACAAATTAAAAAATATGTGTTGCTACATCAAAATATGAAAATTAAATTTGTTACTACAAAAAACTCGTGTTGCTACAATTTTTAAATTCCGTCTACAAGAGCTGGTAATGACGACAAATTTCAAATTCCGTGTTGCTACACAAAAATTCTCAGATAAGGTTTACACAATCGAGTGTTGCTACAAAAAAAATCGTGTTGCTATAACTTAGAAATCGCGTCTTCAAGAGCCGGTAATAGCAACAAATTATGAAATACGTGTTGCTATATCAGGATGTCAAAATTACACTTGTTGCTACAGAAAATTTCCTGTTTTCTCAATTTTCAAATTCGCGCTTTCAAGAACCAGTAAATTGCAAAATACATGTTGCTACATCAAAATTTTGAAATTACATTTATTGCTACAGAAAAATTCGTGTCGCTACAATTTAAACATTACGTCTTCAAGAACCGGTAATGGTAACAAATTGCAAAATACGTGTTGCTACAGAAAAGTGACGAAATTACATTTGTTGCTATAAAAAAATTGTGTTGCTACAAAAACTTAAAAAGGCTGCATATGAAATTTTTTTTAAAATAAACTCTTGTGTTGCTACAAAAAAATAAGTTGCTACAAAGAGCTAGAAACGCTGTATATGAAAAAAAATTAGGAAAAATTGTGTTGCTACAAAAAGAATCTGTAGCTACAAAAAAGTCGTGTTGCTACAAGAAAAATCGTGTTGCTACAAGAAAAATAAGTTGCTACAAAAATCTAGGAACGCCGCATATGTAAAAAAATTATGAAAAATTGTGTTGCTACAAAAAAAAAGTGTGTTGCTACAGAAACTTATAAAAAAAATTAGTAAAAACTTGTGTTGCTACAAAAAGAATCTGTAGCTACAAAAAAAGTTGTGTTGCTATAAGAAAAGCCGTATTGCTACAGAAAAAATCGTGTAGCTACAAGAAAAATGGGTTGCTACAGAGACCTAAAAACGCCGCATATGAAAGAAAATATGAAAAATTGTGTTGCTACAAAAAAAAGTGTGTTGCTACAAAAACTTAGAAACGCCGCATATGAAAAAAAAATTAGTGAAAACTCGTGTTGCTACAAAAAAAAAATGTAGCTACAAAAAAGTCGTGCTGCTACAAGAAAAACCGTGTTGCTACAAAAAATATACGTTGCTACAAATACTTAGAAACGCCGCATATAAAAAAATTGTGTTTCTACAAAAAAAAAATATGTTGCTACAAAAAAAAGTGTGTTGCTACAAAAACTTAGAAACGCCGCATATGAAAAGAAAATGAGTAAAAACTTGTGTTGCTACAAAAAGAATCTGTAGCTACAAAAAAAGTTGTGTTGCTATAAGAAAAGCCGTGTTGCTACAGAAAAAATCGTGTTTCTACAAGAAAAATGGGTTGCTACAGAGACCTAAAAACGCCGCATATGAAAGAAAATATGAAAAATTGTGTTGCTACAAAAAAAAGTGTGTTGCTACAAAAACTTAGAAACGCCGCATATGAAAAAAAAATTAGTGAAAACTCGTGTTGCTACAAAAAAAAAATTGTAGCTACAAAAAAGTCGTGTTGCTACAAGAAAAACCGTGTTGCTACACAAAATATACGTTGCTACAAATACTTAGAAACGCCGCATGTAAAAAAATTGTGTTTCTACAAAAAAAAATATGTTGCTACAAAAAAAAGTGTGTTGCTACAAAAACTCAGAAACGCCGCATATGAAAAAAAAATAGTAAAAACTTGTGTTGCTACAAAAAGAATCTGTAGCTACAAAAAAGTTGTGTTGCTACAGAAAAAATCGTGTTTCTACAAGAAAAATAAGTTGCCGCAAAGACCTAGGAACGCCGCATATAAAAAAATGAAAAATTGTGTTGCTACAAAAAAAAGTGTGTTACTACAGAAACTTAGAAACGCCGCATATGGAAAAAAAAATAGTAAAAACTCGTGTTGCTATAAGAAAAACCGTGTTGCTACAGAAAAAAATGTGTTGCTACAAGAAAAACCGTGTTGCTATAGGAAAAATCGTGTTGCTACAAGAAAAATGAGTTGCTGCAAAGACTTAGAAACGCCGTATATAAAAAAAAAATTATGAAAAATTGTGTTGCTGCAAATAAAAAGTGTGTTGCTACAAAAACTTAGAAACGCCGCATATGAAAAAAAAATAGTAAAAACGTGTGTTGCTACAAAAAGAATCTGTAGCTACAAAAAAGTCGCGTTGCTATAAGAAAAACAGTGTTGCTACAGAAAAATCGTGTTGCTACAAAAAATGAGTTGCTACAGAGACCTAAAAACGCCGCATATGGAAAAAAAATTATGCAAAATTGTGTTGCTACAAAAACTTATGAAAAGAATAGTAAAACTTGTGTTGCTACAAAAAAAGTTCTGTTACTATAAGAAAAACCGTGTTGTTACAGAAAAAATCGTATTGCTACAAGAAAAATGAGTTGCTACAAAGACGCATATGAAAAAAAAGTATGAAAAATTGTGTTGCTACAAAAAAAAGTGTGTTGCTACAGAAACTTATAAAAAAAATTAGTAAAAACTTGTGTTGCTACAAAAAGAATCTGTAGCTACAAAAAAAGTTGTGTTGCTATAAGAAAAGCCGTGTTGCTACAGAAAAAATCGTGTTGCTACAAGAAAAATGGGTTGCTACAGAGACCTAAAAACGCCGCATATGAAAGAAAATATGAAAAATTGTGTTGCTACAAAAAAAAGTGTGTTGCTACAAAAACTTAAAAACGCCGCATATGAAAAAAAAATTAGTGAAAACTCGTGTTGCTACACAAAAAAAATATGTTGCTACAAAAAAAAGTGTGTTGCTACAAAAACTCAGAAACGCCGCATATGAAAAAAAAATTAGTAAAAACTTGTGTTGCTACAAAAAGAATCTGTAGCTACAAAAAAAGTTGTGTTGCTATAAGAAAAGCCGTGTTGCTACAGAAAAAATCGTGTTGCTACAAGAAAAATAAGTTGCTACAAATACCTAGGAACGCCGCATATGAAAAAAAATTATGAAAAATTGTGTTGCTACAAAAAAAAGTGTGTTGCTACAAAAACTTAGAAACGCCGCATATGAAAAAAAAATTAGTGAAAACTCGTGTTGCTACAAAAAAAATTTGTAGCTACAAAAAAGTCGTGTTGCTACAAGAAAAACCGTGTTGCTACAAAAAATATACGTTGCTACAAATACTTAGAAACGCCGCATATAAAAAAATTGTGTTTCTACAAAAAAAAAATATGTTGCTACAAAAAAAAGTGTGTTGCTACAAAAACTCAGAAACGCCGCATATGAAAAAAAAATTAGTAAAAACTTGTGTTGCTACAAAAAAAGAGCTGTAGCTACAAAAAAAGTCGTGTTGCTACAAGAAAACCCGTGTTGCTACTCACTTTTCCGGCTCCTCCTCCCCCTTGATCAGAGCCTCGAAACTGCTCGGAAACGAGTAGGTCGCGTACGGTTTTTTCTCGAGCAAATTGTTCAGGATCCGATTCGACCCGGGACTCAACGAATTGACGTACCAGGCCGTCAAATCCCGACCGCGATCCAAATAATTTCTAAGCTCTTGCGGCGGGTTGTTTTTACTGTTGCCGACACTCAAATCGGTCGGGATTTCTTGGATTTCCGGCCGCGAAAACGGGGCCACGATGGCGATCGGCATTTTCTTCTTCACCGTCAAATCCAGAGGCGACGAATCCATAATTTTCCGGACTCGGGGAGGAGGGAGAGCAACAAGTTTAAAATCAATACCCGGAGATTTTCCTAGATTTTTCAATTCGAAAAAACCGGGGAATTCTTAGAAAATTTCACGAGGACAATAATGCAACGACTCGTTCGCGATTTTAATGGAAACGACTGTGGAAAATGATGATGGAAATTGCCAGGGAGTGAAAAGAGAAGGAAATAGGGCGTTTAGTGTGCGAGACAAAGACGGAACGAGAATCGGCCAACGTTTTGTTATGTCGCTATTTTGACGGATTGATTCTGCGATTTACCGCTTTTTAGTGTTTCCCCGGCGCATCCCTCTCCCCCTCCCCCACCCATCTCCACCCCTCCAGGCAACAAAAGTTTTCCATTTGTGGAAAAACTCTCGATTATTTAATTTTCTTTTTAAATTTACTTGGAAAAATTTCAGAAGGTAATTTTGAGGCCTCATAAACGACAAAATAACGATTGATGCCGGTAAATAATTACAGATTTCTGTAATGAAATTAGCGCCATCTGGCAACAAAATTAAAAAAATCAATAGTGAAATTTTTTGGCCCCCCATCTAGCGGCCGATTGCCGAAACAACCTTAGTCGAGCCTTTGTCTAATAGATGGCGCAAGTTGCATCTCTCTCTTTTTCAATACGAAAATGGAAATTGATTGTTTTTCCGCGTCTTTTACAACAAAAAAAAAAAAAAGAAGAAGAGAAGGCGAAGGAAGAAAATCGAAAGGGGGCGGGTCACTTTTGGCGATAGCCAATGGCCGCCCTTTATGTCAACCAATCGCAGTTCTATTGACCGCCCCTTAACAACGACGAAATTTATCAGACGTTTCAAATGTCATTTGTCAAAAAAAAAAAAAACAATTATGTCAAAAGGTTTTGTTCAAAATGTCATATTTGTATTATTTTTGACAGCTGTCATAAAAAAAAAAAATGGCCACCTACCTGTAATAAATAGCGTCATACCTGTTATTCATCATGTCAGGTAGTTCCTGTTTGGGGCCGGGGGTGACGATGGCGGGGTGCGAGCCGAGGTGGTGGGGGGCGTGCGGGCTGAGCCCCGGATGAGGCTGGATCAGCCCGGTCGGCGAGAATCGGTAAAAGTCGGAGGGGCCGGCCAGGGCGCTCGGATAGGGGCTTCGGAAGCCGGCGCCGGGCGACAGGGGGTACATGCTCGGAGTGTGCCTGGAAAAAAAAATTGACTCAGAAAAAAAAATTGACTCAGAAAAAAAATTAAGGCTCAGAAAAAAATTTAGACTCAGAAAAAATGTTCAATTGAAAATTGAAGTTTAGAAAAAATGTAAAATTGAAATTCAAGTTTAGAAAAAAATTTAGGCTCAGAAAAAAAATTTAGGCTCAGACAATATCTTTAATTAAAAATTAAAGTTCAAGAAAAATCTAAAATTGAAAATCAGGCTCAGAAAAAAATTTAAACTCAGAAAAAAATTTTAGGCTCAGAAAATATCTTCAATTAAAATTTAAAGTTCAAGAAAAATCTAAAATTGATAATCAGGTTCAGAAAAAAATTTGAACTCAGAAAAAAATTTCGGGATCAGAAAAGTTCTTCAATTAAAAATTAAATTTCAAGAGAAATCTAAAATTAAAATCAGGCTCAGAAAAAAATTTGACCTCTGAAAAAAAATTTAGGATCAGAAAAAAATTTGAACTTAAAAAAAAATTTTAGGCTCAGAAAATATCTTCAATTAAAAATTAAAGTTTAGAAAAAATCTAAAATTGAAAATCAGGCTCAGAAAAAAATTTGAACTCAGAAAAAAATTTCAGGATCAGAAAATATCTTTAATTAAAAATTGAAGTTCAAGAAAAATCTAAAATGAAAATTAGGCTCAGAAAAAAGTTTTAGAATCAGAAAATATTTTCAATTAAAAATTGAAGTTCAGGAAAAATCTAAAATTGAAAATCAGGCTCAGAAAAAAATTTTAGGCTTGGAAAATATCTTTAATTAAAAATTAAAGTTTAGGAAAAATCTAAAATTGAAAATCAAGCTCAGAAAAAAATTTGAACTCAGAAAAAAATTTTAGGCTCAGAAAATATTTTCAATTAAAAATTAGAGTTCAAGAAAAATCTAAAATTGAAAATCAGGCTCAGAAAAAAATTTGAACTCAGAAAAAAATTTTAGGCTCAGAAAATATTTTCAATAAAAAATTAGAGTTCAAGAAAAATCTAAAATTGAAAATCAGGCTCAGAAAAAAATTTGAACTCAGAAAAAAATTTCAGGATCAGAAAATATCTTTAATTAAAAATTGAAGTTCAAGAAAAATCTAAAATGAAAATTAGGCTCAGAAAAAAGTTTTAGGATCAGAAAATATTTTCAATTAAAAATTGAAGTTCAGGAAAAATCTAAAATTGAAAATCAGGCTCAGAAAAAAATTTTAGGCTTAGAAAATATCTTTAATTAAAAATTAAAGTTTAGAAAAAATCTAAAATTGAAAATCAGGCTCAGAAAAAAATTTTAGGCTCAGAAAATATTTTCAATTAAAAATTAGAGTTCAAGAAAAATATAAAATTGAAAATCAGGCTCAGAAAAAAATTTGAACTCAGAAAAAAATTTTAGGATCAGAAAATATTTTCAATAAAAAATTAGAGTTCAAGAAAAATCTAAAATTGAAAATCAGGCTCAGAAAAAAATTTTAGGCTCAAAAAATATCTTTAATTAAAAATTAGAGTTTAAGCAAAATCTAAAATTGAAAATCAGGCTCAGAAAAAAATTTGAACTCAGAAAAAAATTTTAGGATCAGAAAATATTTTCAATTAAAAATTAAAGTTCAAGAAAAATCTAAAATTGAAAATAAGGCTCAGAAAAAAAAATTGAACTCAGAAAAAAATTTTAGGCTCAGAACATATCTTCAATTAAAAATTAAAATTCAGGAAAAATCTAAAATTGAAAATAAGGCTCAGAAAAAAAAATTGAACTCAGAAAAAAATTTTAGGCTCAGAACATATTTTCAATTAAAAATTAAAGTTCAAGAAAAATCTAAAATTGAAAATCAGGCTCAGAAAAAAATTTGAACTCAAAAAAAAATTTTAGGCTCAGAAAATATTTTCGATTAAAAATTAAAGTTTAGAAAAAATTTAAAATTGAAAATCAGGCTCAGAAAAAAATTTGAACTCAGGAAAAAATTTTAGGCTCAGAACATATCTTCAATTAAAAATTAAAATTCAGGAAAAATCTAAAATTGAAAATCAGGCTCAGAAAAAAATTTGAACTCAAAAAAAAATTTTAGGCTCAGAACATATTTTCAATTAAAAATTAAAGTTCAAGAAAAATCTAAAATTGATAATCAGGCTCAGAAAAAAATTTTAGGCTCAAAAAATATCTTTAATAAAAAATTAAAGTTTAAGCAAAATCTAAAATTGAAAATCATGCTCAGAAAAAAATTTGAACTCAGAAAAAAATTTTAGGATCAGAAAATATTTTCAATTAAAAATTAAAGTTCAAGAAAAATCTAAAATTGAAAATCAGGCTCAGAAAAAAATTTGAACTCAGAAAAAAATTTTAGGATCAGAAAATATTTTCAATTAAAAATTAAAGTTCAAGAAAAATTTAAAATTAAAATCAGGCTCAGAAAAAAATTTGACCTCTGAAAAAAATTTTAGGATCAGAAAAAAATTTGAACTCAAAAAAAAATTTTAGGCTCAGAAAATATCTTCAATTAAAAATTAAAGTTTAGAAAAAATCTAAAATTGAAAATCAGGCTCAGAAAAAAATTTGAACTCAGAAAAAAATTTCAGGATCAGAAAATATCTTTAATTAAAAATTGAAGTTCAAGAAAAATCTAAAATTGAAAATCAGGCTCAGAAAAAAATTTTAGGCTTAGAAAATATCTTCAATTAAAAATTAAAATTCAGGAAAAATCTAAAATTGAAAATCAGGCTCAAAAAAAAATTTGAACTCAGAAAAAAATTTTAGGCTCAGAAAATATTTTCAATTAAAAATTAAAGTTCAAGAAAAATCCAAAATTGAAAATCAGGCTCAGAAAAAAATTTTAGGTTCAGAAAATATTTTCAATTAAAAATTAAAGTTCAAGAAAAATCTAAAATTGAAAATCAGGCTCAGAAAAAAAAATTGGCTCAGAAAAAAAATGGCTCAGAAAAAAATTTAAGTTCAGAAAAAAATTTCGGCTCAGGCTCAGAAAAAATCTTCAATTGGAAATTGAAGTTCAGAAAAAATTTAAAATTAAAAATCAGACTCAGAAAAAAATTTGAAATTTAGGCTGAGAAATCTTTTTTTAAAAAACTGCGATGTAAACGCACTCAAAGTCTTCCAATGGAATTTGCATAGTAGGCTTGATTGTCGATAGATGGCGTTCCGTATTAATACAATGGAATTGGCTCGGTTTACATAGGAATTTTAAAATTTTGATTAATTTCCCATTTCATTATTTTTCACTGGATGAATTTGAAATTTTAGTATGATACGCCCCTGACTTTCCTTTATTTTTGTTAGAAAATTTCATAATTTTCTCATGGAAATTACTGGGTTTACACCGGATTTTCTTCAAAACAAATCACAGCATAAACTGTTGCTTCCCACCCCTAGGAAGAGGCGTGCGAACAAACCCCATTAATAAACACCCCATTTAACAACCCCATTATCACCTCTATATATTATATATATTTTTGGGGTGCGTACAACCCGTCAATTAAAAACAAATTATCCTGGTAAAAGGGTACATTACAACACTAACTTACCATGAGGCCACTTGTGCTGACATTTCCGGACTGAGCATCGGGTACGGGTACTGACCGGCCGAGAACGGGTACATCGGCGGTCTAGTGAGACCTGAAAACGATTAAAAAATCGATATTTAATGGCATATTTCAAGTAAGCCTTGGAAGCAACCCTGATTTCTAAATCGATATTACAAGGAGTATTTGCCAAAAACTAAGTAGGCCTTGGAAGCTTACTAAAAAAAAAGAATAATTTAAAATTACAAGGCCTTCTTTGCATTGTCATTAAAAAAAGAAGAAATTACAATTAGAAGGTCTTCTTTGAATTGTCAAACGGAAAAAAGAAGAATCGGAACGAAAATCAAGTAGGCCTTGGAAGCAACCCTAATTTCAAATCGATGAGGCCTACTTGTCAAAAACTAAGTTGGAAGCAACCCTAGATTTTTATCGATAATAGTCGGTATTACAGGTAGCTGTTGTTTTGACATTTGAATATAGAAATGAGAAAGGCGTTTTATTTCAAATAAAATCGACAAGGACAGAGAAATGTAATAAAAGGATTTCGTCCTCCCCCATTAGAATTTGAAAAAATCTTTTTTAAAGGGAAAATCCGCGTGTAATTGTCATTCTCTCTCTTCTCCGCTTTGTGTAAAAGGGAAGCGACATTCAACCCCTTTTTTTGTTTTTCCCTGAGAGAAAAAGAGAGAACGAGGAACAATTTATTGATTTTTATTTTAAAAAATCTTTGCATACTAATGACGTCATTGATGTGAATATCCTTGCTATATTTGTCACTTGTCAAAAAAAATGCAGTCAAGAGTACATTGACATTAAAATCCACCCCGCAAACTATCGCTTTGCATAAGTTATCGCAAAATCACCAGGTAAGGGTCCCATAAGGGTGTAATTTGGCCCTTGCCTAATGTGTATTTTCCTATGGCGATTCATTGAATTTTTCAATACATACGTAAAATGCCCTTCCGATATGCATTTTCTAGAAAAAAAATCCCTTTCAAGTGGAACTCGGTCATTAAAACCGCATATATTTAAGTGGGACGCGTGCCGCCCTTGGTAATGACGCCCTTATATAAGTCCGAGGGAGAGAGAAAAAAAAAGGGTCCAAATTGGATCTCTTGTAATTGGCCAATTGACAGTTGCCTGTAATACCGACTATCGATTAAAACCAAGGCCTACTTTAAATCTTTGACAAGTTAAATTCCGTTTGCCTCTATACCGGAAAACCTATAATTACGTATTCGCTTTTGGGGCAATAAGCGAAATTTAAAATATTAATTCAGGCTTTCAGAAGCAAAATAGGTTTTGGGTATATTGAAATTAATTATTGACAACACTGTATTGTTTTGTTGACAAGTGACATTCTCTATCTAGTTTTTTATTTTAATTTGGCAACACCGACATAATTCCAAAGCCTCCTAGTTTGACAAATAATCGACATGTGTCAAATCAGACTTATGGAAATATAAGTGGGCCGTGGGAAATTTGCGACAATAGAAAAACCGCACGCGGTCGACGCGTGTGTCGCCTCCTAACGGTCAATTTAAACTTTTTAATTGGTCTTTCTCTCTCTCTCTTGAAAAAACTACCCTTATAAATTGCAAAAATCCACCCTCTTTTGTACAGGGACGAGGAAATTAATCTCGAAAATTGATGACGCAAACCTTTTACTCGGGGAGGACAAAGCGGCCTCGGCGAGATTGATATCAGTTTTCCTGTATACAAATTTTTTTTTTCCAGGAGGGGGACACAATGGGGTTTCTTTACGCCGAGTTACCCCCGCATGGGGGACTTGTTGATCTGAGCAATCTGTAGACGTTTCGGACAATGACAGCCCGGTTATTAATTTATGTGAATATTTTTCGATGCGCTTTTATTTTCAATCAAATTCGGATTATCGGAGTTAATGGATTGATAATAGCGGCAACGTTGTCAGATTCGCTTTTGACAGTAGCAGGCCTTGGTTAAAAACTAAGTAGGCCAAGGATGATACACACTACAACGACTACTACAAAATAAGGCCTGTATGGAACAAATCACCAGTTGTGACGTGGATAGCATGTTATTTCTCGGCTGTTTAAACAGCTCAATTGATGACGTCGACAATGGTGATTCACCATTTTATGAATATCGATAATACAAATAGTAAGCCTTGGAAGCAACCCTGTTTTCAAATCGATGAAGCCTACTTGTCAAAAATTAAGTAGGCCTTGGAAGTCAAGGATGATACACACTACTATTACAGAATAGTCTATTCTTATAAAGCCTATGTAATATGTAGAACAAATCCCCCTCCTTACGTCAAATCACCAATTGTGACGTAGGCAGCATCTTATTTTTTGCCTTGATGCTAAACAACTGACAACTTAGTTGATGACGTCGAAAATGGTAACACACCAATATAACAACGATTACCAAAAACGAACCTGATAAGCAATCTTGTAGGTATGTATTATCCTTGGCTAATTAGTACAATTCAATTAGTAAAATTATAGACTGCACCCTGATCCTCGGGCTCGTATAGCTCCGGCCCTTCGGGTTCACATGATTCCGGCCCTTCGAGCTCGTGATTAAGATAACTCCGGCCTGTCAGGTTCTTATAATGCCGGTCCTTCGAGCTTGTATAACCTCGACTTTTCGGGCTTGTAATTTAAATAACCTCAACCTTCCAAAATCAAGATTTAAAAAAAAAAAACATATGGCAACATTGCTTATCACAAAACAAACGTCAAAAAAATGACGTTTTAAAGTAGGCCTTCTTTTTTTTTTGATAATCGATACAAAATGGCGTCTTTTTGATTCAAAAATTATGGCCCGAAGGGCCGGAGTATTAAAAATCAGTTGACAACAAACGGACTCGTATAACTCCGGCCCTTCGGGCTCGTATAACCTCAGCTTTTCAGAGTCGTAGTTAAAATAACTCCGGCCCTTCGGGCTCGCATATAACTCTAGCCCTTCGGGCTTTCATGTAACTCCAGCCCTTCGGGCTCTCATATAGCTCCGGCCCTTCGGGCTCGCATATAACTCTAGCCCTTCGGGCTTTCATGTAACTCCAGCCCTTCGGGCTGGCGTCAAACTTGAACACTTCGGGCTCTCGTATAACTCCGGCCCTTCGGGCTCGCATATAACTCTAGCCCTTCGGGCTTTCATGTAACTCCAGCCCTTCGGGCTGGCGTCAAACTTGAACACTTCGGGCTCTCGTATAACTCCGGCCCTTCGGGCTCGCATATAACTCTAGCCCTTCGGGCTTTCATGTAACTCCAGCCCTTCGGGCTCTCATATAGCTCCGGCCCTTCGGACTCGCATATAACTCTAGCCCTTCGGACTTTCATGTAACTCCAGCCCTTCGGGCTCTCATATAGCTCCGGCCCTTCGGGCTCGCATATAACTCTAGCCCTTCGGGCTTTCATGTAACTCCAGCCCTTCGGGCTGGCGTCAAACTTGAACACTTCGGGCTCTCGTATAACTCCGGCCTAACGTTTCAATTAATTTTAAAAAATGTTCCAAAACTGTTTGAATTTATTATAATTCGTTGAAGTGAATTTTTTCGACTGTTTCAACGAGTTCCAAAAAATTTATAACGTTCCAACAAATCCATATACTCGTTCCAATATTATTTGGAAACATTAGAACTCATTAATGTGAATTTTTTTGAACTGTTTCAACGAGTTCCAAAAAATTTGTAGCGTTTCAATTATCTTAAAAAATCGTTCCAAAACTATTTGAACTCATTAAAACTCGTTGGAATCAGTTTTTGGGCTGTTTCAACGAGTTTCAAAAAACTTCATGACGTTCCAATATTATTTAGAAACGTTCAAACTCGTTAAAAGAAGTTTTTTGAGTTAAGTTGGGTTAGTTTTGGACTGTTCCAACGAGTTTCAAAAAATGTATAACGTTTCAATTAATTTAAAAAATTGTTCCAAAACTGTTTGAATTTATTATAACTCGTTGGAGTGAATTTTTTCGACTGTTTCAACGAGTTCCAAAAAATTTATAACGTTCCAACAAATTCATATACTCGTTCCAATATTATTTGGAATCATTAGAACTCATTAATGTGAATTTTTTTGAACTGTTTCAACGAGTTCCAAAAAATTTATATCGTTTCAATTATCTTAAAAAATCGTTCCAAAACTATTTGAACTCATTGAAACTCATTGGAATCAGTTTTTTGGGCTGTTTCAACGAGTTCCAAAAAAGGTCATGACGTTCCAATATTATTTAGAAACGTTCGAACTCGATAAAATGAATTTTTAAGGTTAATTTGGGTTAATTTCAGATTGTTCCAACAGGTTCCAAGAAATTTATATCGTTTCAATTATCTTAAAAAACCGTTCCAAAACTATTTGAACTCATTGAAACTCGTTGGAATCAGTTTTTTGGGCTGTTTCAACGAGTTCCAAAAAAGTTCATGACGTTCCAATATAATTTAGAAACGTTCAAACTCGTTAAAAGAAGTTTTTTGAGTTAAGTTGGGTTAGTTTTGGACTGTTCCAATGAGTTTCAAAAAATGTATAACGTTTCAATTAATTTAAAAAATTGTTCCAAAACTGTTTGAATTTATTATAATTCGTTGGAGTGAATTTTTTGGACTATTTCAACGAGTTTCAAAAAATTTATAACGTTCCAACAAATTCATATACTCGTTCCAGTATTATTTGGAAACATTAGAACTCGTTAATGTGAATTTTTTTGAACTGTTTCAACGAGTTCCAAAAAATTTGTAGCGTTTCAATTATCTTCAAAAATCGTTCCAAAACTATTTGAACTCATTGAAACTCGTTTGAATCAGTTTTTTAGGCTGTTTCAACGAGTTCCAAAAAAGTTCATGACGTTCCAATATTATTTAGAAACGTTCGAACTCATTAAATGAAATTTTTTGAGTTAATTTGGCTTACTTTTAGACTGTTCCAACGAGTTTCAAAAAATATATAACATATTAATTAATTTAAAAAATTGTTCCAAAACTGTTTGAATTTATTATAACTCGTTGGAGTGAATTTTTTCGACTGTTTCAACGAGTTCCAAAAAATTTATAACGTTCCAACAAATTCATATACTCGTTCCAGTATTATTTGGAAACATTAAAACTCGTTAATGTGATTTTTTTTGAACTGTTCCAACGAGTTCCAAAAAATTTATAGAGTTTCAATTATCTTCCAAAAAAGTTCATGTCGTTCCAATATTATTTAGAAACGTTCAAACTCGTTAAAAGAAGTTTTTTGAGTTAAGTTGGGTTAGTTTTGGACTGTTCCAACGAGTTTCAAAAAATGTATAACGTTTCAATTAATTTAAAAAATTGTTCCAAAACTGTTTGAATTTATTAAAACTCGTTGAAGTGAATTTTTTCGACTGTTTCAACGAGTTCCAAAAAATTTATAACGTTCCAACAAATTCATATACTCGTTCCAATATTATTTGGAAACATTAAAACTCGTTAATGTGAATTTTTTTGAACTGTTTCAACGAGTTCCAAAAAATTTGTAGCGTTTCAATTATCTTAAAAAATCGTTCCAAAACTATTTGAACTCATTAAAACTCGTTGGAATCAGTTTTTTGGGCTGTTTTAACGAGTTCCAAAAAAGTTCATGACGTTCCAATATTATTTAGAAACGTTCAAACTCGTTAAAAGAAGTTTTTTGAGTTAAGTTGGGTTAGTTTTGGACTGTTCCAACGAGTTTCAAAAAATGTATAACGTTTCAATTAATTTAAAAAATTGTTCCAAAACTGTTTGAATTTATTAAAACTCGTTGGAGTGAATTTTTTCGACTGTTTCAACGAGTTCCAAAAAATTTATAACGTTCCAACAAATTCATATACTCGTTCCAATATTATTTGGAAACATTAGAACTCATTAATGTGAATTTTTTTGAACTGTTCCAACGAGTTCCAAAAAATTTGTAGCGTTTCAATTATCTTAAAAAATCGTTCCAAAACTATTTGAACTCATTGAAACTCATTGGAATCAGTTTTTTGGGCTGTTTCAACGAGTTCCAAAAAAGGTCATGACGTTCCAATATTATTTAGAAACGTTCGAACTCGATAAAATGAATTTTTAAGGTTAATTTGGGTTAATTTCAGATTGTTCCAACAGGTTCCAAGAAATTTATATCGTTTCAATTATCTTAAAAAATCGTTCCAAAACTATTTGGACTCATTGAAACTCATTGAAACTCATTGGAATCAGTTTTTTGGGCTGTTTCAACGAGTTCCAAAAAAGGTCATGACGTTCCAATATTATTTAGAAACGTTCGAACTCGATAAAATGAATTTTTAAGGTTAATTTGGGTTAATTTCAGATTGTTCCAACAGGTTCCAAGAAATTTATATCGTTTCAATTATCTTAAAAAATCGTTCCAAAACTATTTGGACTCATTGAAACTCATTGAAACTCATTGGAATCAGTTTTTTGGGCTGTTTCAACGAGTTCCAAAAAAGGTCATGACGTTCCAATATTATTTAGAAACGTTCGAACTCGATAAAATGAATTTTTAAGGTTAATTTGGGTTAATTTCAGATTGTTCCAACAGGTTCCAAGAAATTTATATCGTTTCAATTATCTTAAAAAATCGTTCCAAAACTATTTGGACTCATTGAAACTCATTGAAACTCATTGGAATCAGTTTTTTGGGCTGTTTCAACGAGTTCCAAAAAAGGTCATGACGTTCCAATATTATTTAGAAACGTTCGAACTCGATAAAATGAATTTTTAAGGTTAATTTGGGTTAATTTCAGATTGTTCCAACAGGTTCCAAGAAATTTATATCGTTTCAATTATCTTAAAAAATCGTTCCAAAACTATTTGGACTCATTGAAACTCATTGAAACTCATTGGAATCAGTTTTTTGGGCTGTTTCAACGAGTTCCAAAAAAGGTCATGACGTTCCAATATTATTTAGAAACGTTCGAACTCGATAAAATGAATTTTTAAGGTTAATTTGGGTTAATTTCAGATTGTTCCAACAGGTTCCAAGAAATTTATATCGTTTCAATTATCTTAAAAAATCGTTCCAAAACTATTTGGACTCATTGAAACTCATTGAAACTCATTGGAATCAGTTTTTTGGGCTGTTTCAACGAGTTCCAAAAAAGGTCATGACGTTCCAATATTATTTAGAAACGTTCGAACTCGATAAAATGAATTTTTAAGGTTAATTTGGGTTAATTTCAGATTGTTCCAACAGGTTCCAAGAAATTTATATCGTTTCAATTATCTTAAAAAATCGTTCCAAAACTATTTGGACTCATTGAAACTCATTGAAACTCATTGGAATCAGTTTTTTGGGCTGTTTCAACGAGTTCCAAAAAAGGTCATGACGTTCCAATATTATTTAGAAACGTTCGAACTCGATAAAATGAATTTTTAAGGTTAATTTGGGTTAATTTCAGATTGTTCCAACAGGTTCCAAGAAATTTATATCGTTTCAATTATCTTAAAAAATCGTTCCAAAACTATTTGGACTCATTGAAACTCATTGAAACTCATTGGAATCAGTTTTTTGGGCTGTTTCAACGAGTTCCAAAAAAGGTCATGACGTTCCAATATTATTTAGAAACGTTCGAACTCGATAAAATGAATTTTTAAGGTTAATTTGGGTTAATTTCAGATTGTTCCAACAGGTTCCAAGAAATTTATATCGTTTCAATTATCTTAAAAAATCTTTCCAAAACTATTTGGACTCATTGAAACTCATTGAAACTCATTGGAATCAGTTTTTTGGGCTGTTTCAACGAGTTCCAAAAAAGTTCATGACGTTCCAATATTATTTAGAAACGTTCAAACTCGTTAAAAGAAGTTTTTTGAGTTAAGTTGGGTTAGTTTTGGACTGTTCCAACGAGTTTCAAAAAATGTATAACGTTTCAATTAATTTAAAAAATTGTTCCAAAACTGTTTGAATTTATTAAAACTCGTTGGAGTGAATTTTTTCGACTGTTTCAACGAGTTCCAAAAAATTTATAACGTTCCAACAAATTCATATACTCGTTCCAATATTATTTGGAAACATTAGAACTCATTAATGTGAATTTTTTTGAACTGTTTCAACGAGTTCCAAAAAATTTATAGCGTTTCAATTATCTTAAAAATCGTTCCAAAACTACTTGAACTCATTGAAACTCGTTGGAATCAGTTTTTTGGGCTGTTTCAACTAGTTCCAAAAAAGTTCATGACGTTCCAATATTATTTAGAAACGTTCGAACTCGATAAAATTAATTTTTAAGGTTAGTTTGGATTAGTTTTAGATTGTTCCAACAAGTTCCAAAAAATGTATAACATATTAATTAATTTAAAAAATTGTTCCAAAACTGTTTGAATTTATTAGAACTCGTTGGAATGAATTTTTTTGAACTGTTACGAGATCCAAAAAATTTAAGAAGTTCCAATAAATTCAAAATTTCTGTTCCAACGAGTTTTTGAAACGTTTTAAAAAAATTCAAAATTCACAAAAACTCCTTCCGAAATCGTTAAAACAAAATTTTAAACTGTTTCAAAGAGAACTCAAGTAGGCTTTGGATTTTTCTTCTTTTTTTTTGAAAAATGCTGCTCCCACGCAAAATCACCAGTTGTGACGTAGGCAGCATGTTATTTTTCGCATTAATGTCAAGGATGATACACACTTACAAAATTGCTTATCGTCGTCATATTGGTGTGTCACCATTTCCGACGTCAGGTTGCCTAGCAATCGCCTGTACTGTACGCGATAAATAGATCGCGGGTGACGTCATAAAAGTAGAATTCTACTACGGTATTACAAGGCCTACTTGTTAAAAACTAAGTAGGCCTTGGAAGCCTAGGATAATACACACTACCACTATAGGAAAACCTAACCTCATACAAATTCACCTTTTCACTTTAAATCATCAGACGCCATATTTTGAATTAATTGTCAAAAAAATTTGTGAAACGTCATTTTTTTTTTTTGACGTCTATGCCAAAGTTGCTACATTTTTAATCTAACGGGAATTGAATGGAAATTATTGACACATTGATGACGTATTTGACACACATTAAATGACAGTAACTCCAAGGCCAACTTTGCCATTAACATACACGAAAAATAGAATTCTACACTACAACAACAAAGCAACGGAAAAAATAGCGTGCATGCAATTGCCTATTCGCCCTCCACCACTAATGACGCATACGTCAAAAACGCATGCGTCAAATATAATTTTTTTTAAAGCCGCGTACGTCAATGTCAATTTTTCTTATGACAATTTTTTTATGAAAACGTATACGTCAAAAATTTTGACATTGAAAAAATGCGATTTTTTTCGTGTGGTGGCGGGTACCTGTGGCGGCGAGCAATCCAAGCCGCCTCCACTCGGCGGGGCTGAGCGGCCGAGGCGGCGGCGGCTGGTGCTGGTGGTGGTGGTGCGGGTGGTGGTGGTGCGGGTGGCCGGACTCACCGATCGGCGCGCCCCCTTTGCCGCCGTCCAGCTGATAAGGCGGGATTCCCATGTGCGCGGGCGGCGGCTGCGTGAGCGGGTCGCCGTTGTGGCAAAAGTAGGCGGGCAAGTGGCCGCCGGGGCCCAGTCCCATTTTTCCTGCCTGAAACAAAAAACACAATATGTCAGCTGTCAAACAACAAAATCCTCTTTTGCAGGGTTGCCAACGGTTACCTTTTGTAGGATTTCCCTAGAGGATTTTGCATCTTTTCTTAAATACAAAAATAAGAAAATCCGCTTTATTTCTTACTCTTTTTATCCCGTCCCCTTTGACAAGGAGGATTATATTTTATAAAAAAAATGTAAACACCAATCTCAATTATATATCGAGGATAGGGAGGATGGGATGATGGGGAGGAGAAGCATTTCAATATCAAAGAGACGATGGCGGAATTTTCCCTCGGGGGTTGTTTTCGGAGAGAGAGAGAGAGAGAGAGAAGAGAGGGTGCATACGAATTTTAGGCGTTTTTCCCTTTTGATCTTTTCACCAAGGGCCGGCCATTGCAATTACGTATTAATGTATATTTTTTTTTTTAATTATTGGCAACATTGTCATAATAAACTAAGCAGGCCTTGTATTACAGGTCACTGTAAAAGTCAAAGCCTAAGTAGGCCTTGTAGTACAGATCACTGTAAAAGTCAACACCTAAGTAGGCATTGTAATTATGCATTTGTCATAGTAGGCCTTGCCTCGGTATTACAGGAAACTATTTATTATTTGTAAATTCTTCTTTTTTTCAAACTGTTTTTTGAAATTATTTTTGACAGATCTCGGCTTGAGCGAGTTGTTTTGACATTTTTAATCTGTCAAAACCATAATTTCGATTCTTCTTTTTTTGCGTTTGGCAATTCAAAGAAGGCTTTGTAATCGTAATTTCTTCTTTTTTTTTAATGACAATTCAAAGAAGGCTTTGTAATCGTAATTTCTTCTTTTTTTTTAATGACAATTCAAAGAAGGCCTTGTAATAGAAGTCAATTCTTCTTTTTTTCACTATAAAACGCAAACCTAAGTAGGCCTTGTATTACAAATCACTGTAAAAATCAACACCCAAGTAGGCATTTTAATTATGCATTCGTAATAGTAGGCCTTGTAAATCAACAAAAACCAAGCAGGCCTTGTAATCATTATCCCTAATGTCGGTATTACAGGAAACTGCAACTCAGTAGGCTTTGGAATTTTAAAAAATAATAATAATTCCGATATCGATGTCGTCGGGTATGCGGAGCGCATTATTGCACGAAGACGGGTTTTAACGAGCCCCAACTTTTTTTTTGTCTCTTCTTTTTTTTCTCATTGTGGAATGATGATGATGATAATCATTATAATGTCCGAGATTGATTCTTCTTTTTTTTTCGTTTATCGAATGGCAACACTGTTAATTGACAAATGACGAATGAATATTTATGACGTCAAAGAAGAGACGCGATTTTTAAGGGCCCCAATTCCGTTCCGAGTCGTCCAATTTGGACGCCTTTCGACGTCGTCTCTCTTTTCGTCGAGGAGCGAATTTGCATTTTAAATAAGAAAGAGAGGACGCGCCATTTTGTGACGTCATAATTATTCAATCACGCGTAAACCGATCTGTCCTTTTTAAATTTTCCAGATTGGAAGTTTGGACACATGTCACTCGATTAAAATCGCCGATACTTATCGCAGATAAGAGCGCCCTCTCTCCTAAATGGCATTATTATGAGGAGTACAAAGGGCCTTTTGTTAAGGGACAAGAGGGCGTATTATCGTTATAGAAAGGGCCTTATGTCAACGGCCGAAAAATTGTTTTTAGATTTATCGAGTAGTAGTAGGTGGCTTTGGAAATATACTTTTTGTCACTTGTCATAAATGACGTCAATATTGAAAATTTATACCTACCTGGCCAAAATACACACATACGTAGTACGTATTGAAGCTGCTTGCTTGAAGGGGGGGCGCGGTTGCCAAGGCAACCCGTCAGAAGGGTTTGGGGGAAAAGTGGGCGCGAAGGGGAGAAAAAGGCGCACGCTTAGAGAAGCAAAACAGAGCGAGAACCAAAGATGCTGCATTTTGAGAGAAAGAGCGAGACAACGAAACGGGATTGTGAGGATTCTAATCCTAGACGATTAAAAATTCAAAAACGCGCGCGGTCTTGTCCGACGTAATTGTTTTTTTAATCAGTCAACAGTTGATTTCGTGTGCCCCTTGCGGCCATTTTAATTTCTCTCTCGGACTCCCGACTGAAATTGCAGTCCTTGAGAGATTGAAAAAGGATGTCTCGGTTGGTTATTGTCGAAACAGTGACATCATCTGACACTTGTTACTGTTAATAAAATAGAATTCCAATTGACAATTGACAGATGTTCCATAGCCACCTTTTCATTTTTGGGTCTTAATGATTCAGAAAATATAATTTTAAATCGGAATTTGTTAAATATTAACGGAATTTTGTGGGGCAATGTCAAATAATTAAAAATTTTGCAAGGATATTGACAGAAAAAGGTTAAACCTAAAACGAAATTTGTCTGAGGGAAGTGTATCAAGGCCACCTACAATGAAAATATTGACAAATAATCAAAATTTTGCAAGGATATTTGACAGAAAGAGGTTAAACCCAAAACGAAATTAGCCTAAAAATGTTCCAAGGCCACCTTTGACAGTTTATCAAAATTTTGCAAGGATATTTGACAGAAAAAGGTTAAATTTAAAACGAGATTTGTCTGAAAAATGTTCCAAGGCTACCTAGAATTGACAGTTGATCAGAATTTTGCAAGGATAGTTGACAAAAAAAGGTTAAATTTATGACGAGAAATGTTCCAAGGCCACCTACAATATAACTTTTGACAATTAATAAAAATTTTGCAAGGATATTTCACAGAAAAAGGTTAAATCTAAAAAGAGATTTGTCTGAAAAATGTTCCAAGACTACCTACAATTGGCAATTAATCAAAATTTTGCAAGGATATTTGACAAAAAAAGGTTAAACCCAAAACGAAATTAGCCTTAAAAATGTTCCAAGGCCACCTACAATATAATTTCTGACAGTTGATCAAAATTTTGCAAGGATATTTGACAGAAAAAGGTTAAATCTAAAACGCGATTTGTCTGAGAGAAGTGTACAAAGGCCACCTACAACGTAAATATTGACAGTTGATCAAAATTTTGCAAGGATATTTGACAAAAAGAGGTTAAACCCAAAATGAAATTAGCCTTAAAAATAGAACCAAGGCCAACTTTGACATCAAACACTACTTATGACACAACAAACGTCAAAAAAGTGACGTTTCAAAGTAGGCCTTGTTTTTTTTGATAGTCAATTTAAAATGGCATCTTTTTGATTCAAAGATTACGGCCCGAAGGGCCGGAGTATTAAAATCAATTGACAATGAACGAACTCATATCGTATAACTCCGGCCCTTCGGGCTCGTAGTTGAAATAACTCTGACCCTTCAGGCTTGTATTACTCCGGCCCTTCGGGCTCGCGTATAACAATATAAGTTTTGACAATTAATAAAAATTTTGCAAGGATATTTGACAGAAAAAGGTTAAATTTGAAATGAGATTTGTCTGAAAAATGTTCCAAGGCTACCTAGAATTGACAGTTGATCAAAATTTTGCAAGGATAGTTAACAAAAAAAGGTTAAATCTATGACGAGAAATATTCCAAGGCCACCTACAATATAAGTTTTGACAATTAATAAAAATTTTGCAAGGATATTTCACAGAAAAAGGTTAAATCTAAAACGAGATTTGTCTGAAAAATGTTCCAAGGCAACCTAGAATTGACAGTTGATCAAAATTTTGCAAGGATAGTTGACAAAAAAAGGTTAAATCTATAACGAGGCCACTTACAATATAACTTTTGACTGATGACAAGTGATTTTAACACATGCCTCTCGCTCTACTCCATTCAATAAACAAAGAAAGTGATAAAACAACGTCAAAACTCCAACAAAATTATTGAAAACCGGCCGCAAAACTGACCGCCAAAGCGCGTATTACATTAATTTATTCAATTAATTAACGGCGGGGCGTTTAATAATAATAACGATAAAATAGATTTATGTTTGAATAAATACGGAAAAGTCCGAACCCCAAATAGGATTAAAGGCCGGGAAAAAAGGGAGCAATCGGGATAATGGCCCGTGTTGGCACTCATCCGGGATTTCTTAAGGATGTGTGTGCGGTCAGCACTCTCCCCCCAGAAAAAAAAACAACTCCAATCGAGCTTGAATCATTTTTACGTCAATACAAGGAAAAAGAAGAGGAAATATTTTGTTTAAAAAAAAAAAAAGAAGAGCGCAGAGAGAGGCACGACTTTTCTTCTACTTCTTTTTTTCGGATGGTTATTTAGTACCGCATTGTATGGTAATTTGGACTACCGGCCAAAGCAAAAACGACCCCGGATTTATGGGTTCTTGCTCGGTTTGTTGTCTTCTTTTTTTTTTTTTCGCAAGGAATTTGCGTCATAATTGTCAAAATATTTTTAATCGGAAAATAAAGGCAAGAGGGTGGCTGGCCCCCCCCACCTAGTAGGTAACAACGATCAAAGCGAAACTTCAAAGCTTTGCTGGCGACGACAGGTTTGCAGAGGAAATCCGCAACATGTTTGGATTATTTATTCCGTCCGGGAAAAGTTTTCAATAATTAATACGGTTAATGTCATTTGTCAATTGTAAAAAAAAAAAAGAAGAATTAACATTTGACAGTTACGGTGTTTTTGAATTAATTAACATTTTTTTGAAAAAAAAGAAGAGCGCCTGGAATAATCACTCAATTTTTTTTTAGACAATTGACCAGCCATTTTCCAAGGCTCGAAATTGTAGAAATCTGTAATTTGCGGCCAATGAAAATCGTTCTAGAACAAGGGCCGGAAACTCGTGATGAAATTCCTGATGCCGCCGCCCCACCCGACATCCGGAATTCGAATACTCTTGCCCCCCCCCCACCCCCTCAGCCAATATTGCACATTGTTCGGGACGAGGAATTCCTCGAATCTCCGACTTGAAAATTCGAAAATCACGCACCACGCACACGAGCTGCTTGACGTTTCTTGCTAATTAAAAAAAAAAAGAAGAACGCGCACAAAAATGGGAAACCGACCGGCGAAGCGTGGAAAGCGCTAATTTTCC